CAGCAATATTGTGAAATATTATTACAAATAAAAAAAAAGTTTTAAATTATTACAAATCTCAATTATTAAATGCAATGAAACCCGTGATTATTCCTCAGACTATAATGGTACCAACAAAATCTATAATCGTTGCATCCCTACCAGCATAGCATAGGAACAAGCGTGCTTCCAATAACAACCAGAGAGCTTAGGAACAAGCGTGCTCCCAATAACAACCAGACAGCTTAGGAACAAGCGTGCTCCCAATAACAACCAGACAGCTTAGGAACAAGCGTGCTTCCAATAACAACCAGACAGCTTAAGAACAAGCGTGCTTCCAATACGACTAGACAGAATCTAGACAGAATCTGATACCGGAGCAGAATCAACACTGAACTGATGGCTGCATTTGAAACTGGAAAATGCTGCCTTTGGAGGACACATGTCAAGGTAGGAAGGCATCGAGACACGTCAAATCCAATGCTAGCTTCACTTCCTGCCTCCTGAGATACCTTCATCTAGTTGATATTTAAAGGCAGAATAGATGTATTCTTCATTGCCTTGATACCCACAATTCTGTGTGTTCTATCCCATGATGGTTGAGCAAAATAAGATGGCGTCTGAAGTTATTTCTAGCGAGAAAACAGTATTAAGTAATTAAATATTCACTTAGTTATCACCAAGCTCGTTCTATTTAGTTGTAGATCGTTGAACCGTCAAGCTGCCTCAGAAGAATGTCCGATATCAGTTTCATGAATTACCTACGCGAACAGTTACCTGCAGCAAGGCAGCATGTCAGCAGCCTAGGTTTTTGGATGCAGACAACTTCAACTGAACAACGACCGTTTACCATTTCTCTTTGGAGCTGCACTGCAGCAGAAATTATTCCGTTTGCACCATGGTCGTTATTTCCTGCTTCTTAAATCTTGCTGTAGTGCTATAAAATAAAGACGACTTGACTAGGTTAAATGTGACATAACACACACAGTTTCAGCCAATCTTGTGTTATCTTGAGTACCTATAGTGTAGTATTGCATCACTCACATCTCCAAAGAGTCTTCAGTTTTATCAGATTTATAAAGAAAGATGCAGCTTAATGATTCTCTCCGAAACAGTCGAGCTACTGAAGTCGAGCCGTGGGCAGAGCTGAAGAGTCGCAAGCACTTATGGGCTGATTGGCAACAAACACAGACATTTGATGCAGTTTTTTACAGCAGTTCCTGGTCATGACCCGGATCTTTTAATGCTGGGACTGCTCCATCTTTCAGTATGAAACGATGTGCAAATCCAGTGTCAGAATGTACCTTGTTATAAAACATTTGTCACCGTACACTCTTAAAAATAAAGGTGCTTCACGATGCCATAGAAGAACCTTTTTGTCTAAATGGTTCCATAAAGAACCTTTAACATCTGAAGAACCTTTCTGTTTCACAAAAGGTTCTTTGTGTCGAAAGAAGGTTCTTCAGATTATAAAAAGGTAAGAAAGAGATGGTTCTTTAAAGAACCTTTGACTGAATGGTTCTTTGTGGAACCAAAAATGGTTATTCTATGGCATCGCTTGAAGAACCTTTTGAAGCACCTTTATTTTTAAGAGTGTATGACAGGAACAACCAAACATGCTTGTGATCTCCATGGCTGCCCCGGAAAAACAAATTGCATCCACTTCTCATATAACACTGAATAAGGCTATCTTTTCCTCACATCCAAAAACACACATCTTTAGAGACATTCTTCTCGAGCGAGTAACTGCATTAAAGCATTAAAAGGAACTTAGCTTGTGAAGACGTTCGAGAGAGAGAAACATAGCAGCTGTGACGTGGATGCTTGATCTGTTGATATCCTTCTTGGGGATGAAGTTCCTTATCTGAACTTCTTTAGTCAGTCACATAAATCATGGCGTCCATGTCAAGAGTAGCAATGCGTGAAGTAATGCTAACTCGGTCACTTCCGAATCAGGCAGCTTATGATCAATGCAGTGAATTCACGTGTTCAAGTTAACGAACCTGAATCGGAAGTGAGTCCATTGGGGAAACGAATTCCACTCACTAAATTCCCGATTCCTAGTGATGGTGTTTTGCCTGCCGAATTCGCCATTTAATGAGCTATTGAGCAACGCGAAACTGGTGATAGTACTGAAGGACCTTATGATTGCTGTGATAGGTGTCGCATCCCTATAGGTAGACGTGGATCAGCTGAGAGTCAGCTGATGCGAGCTTGACTAACGTGACTAACTTTACCATTAAAGTGATTATTGTTCCCTTTAGTTGGGCACTTGGCCATGGACATTGGTTGAATTTCAGCAATTGTTGAAAGTGCATAATATCACTATTTTTAACAATATTTCATGGTCCTGACTGCACATATTAAAATCATTCTCTTTTACTATGTGCACCTTTTGAAATCAATGACTGACAGCTGGATTTGGACATATGTGACTTCCCAAGTAAGTATGAAAGTCTTCAAAAACAGGTTAACTGTCCCATTGAAAGAGCTATTCTTATAACACCTCTTAATGAACAAACTGCTTATGATTAAGCTTATATTAGGTATTTTTTGGTTTTCCTATCTCTAAATGCTTTTGTTATGCAATGTACGCAAGCTCTTTTTAACTGATTTTAACAGATTTGTGTAAAGATCGTATGATGCAGGAGACAATTCCTTTGATGCTTTGAAATGTTTTACCAGTTTACCAGTGACATTGATTAAGAATGTAATCATAACTAAAGCAATTACAATTTTCATTTCTACTTTCATCAGAGGGAGCAAAAGAAATTACAAAGTTACCATATGATTCAGTAAATAATGTTTTAACCTTATATTGTTTTTCCTTTACATCATGAATGTGTTAGATAGAGAAATATGCAAGCAAAATCTGTTTGTCCCCAAAACACTGCTTGCCTATAGACAGCTGGCCTACTGACACTCAACCATGCAAGATCATGCTGGTGAACCAGCATCACCAGCCCCATTTTGCTTGAGGACAACATGAATATGCTGGTCCACCAGCTAGACCAGCACTATACTAGCATACACCAGCCTGGACAAACACTATACCAGCACTAACCAGTATAAACCAGCCTGGACCAGCTTGGAATCCATGCTGGTTTATGCTGGATTTTTCATCAGGAACACTATATAAATAAATTGTATTGTTTTTTATTACTAAAAGTGACTGAGTTGAAAATAGAAAATAATATTTTAAAAATACTACAATAAAAGTGTATAACTTTCCCGCCATAAATTCTGAATCACCTGCACCTGCTCCTCATTATCACACCATTCAACCCCTGCATATAAGCGCACACCTCTCAGTCACACTTTGTTTGGTCTCATCGCTGACTATGGACTACTTACCTCCATTGTGATCTCCTATGTCTTCCTTGTGATCTCCTATCCTTATTTTCTTGTAAGCCAATTGACGGCTGAACTAGGTATTTGAATACTCATTGCATTAGTAACAAGTTATGCGTGCTTAACTTCTTCACAGAGTTCCTCTTCACAATCACAACTTCACCCTGGTAACATAGAAAGGACTCTTATTCATTCATCCACAACCTTCAATATCTCTGATATACTTATCTGTGGGTGCTTATCTCCATATTGCCTAACAAACCTGCTGTGTTACAATTAAAACAGTGCAAAATGAACATAGTAGGCTAGAGAATAGAATAGCATAAATTAAGAACAAAAGTTTATTTGTCTGTCTGGGCACTCTGGGTATCTTTCAGCAAGTTTCTTTGTCTCCCTCTTTGATGTGCCAGCTCTCTCATAAAACGAAGCAACCTTTTAAATTTTATATAATACTGTTCACGCTGCTGTGTGTCATCCAGGCCAGTTGCAAAAACTAACTGTAAAAAATTATTCTTTTCATTGAGCTTTCATTCCCTAAATACACTGTGTGACTTCAGTAAAGTTTTTTTTAAATACCAACTCATTCTGTACGAGTAAATCATGATGTAAAGCCAAAGCTCACATTTTTTGTTCTAATACTATATGGTCCGATTGTTGAGCTGCCACTTGACTACTCACACTATAAGTGTGGGAAAAAAAAACAACAAAAAAAACACATGGGGCCTGGAACAGATTGGCCTCCACTGTTTAATGTCTGTGGTGTGAAAATGATGCAGAGCGATTCATGTTGCTGCAAGATGCTGGTGCAGTGAACGGGGCTTGAGAAAGAGAATTGTGAGTGAGGGCACAGGCACTGCCTATGCTATGTTGCCAGATCCAGTTATAGTAATTACTGACTTTGGTCAGTAAAAACACTGATTCATCAACTAGGGTTGTAGTGTTGTCAGAAGTACTGACCGAGATACCATTTGGTACAGAAGTTTTAAAAACTTAAATTTCCCGCCAAGATTTGAGTGCTGTTGAGCAGATTCTAACACAGTGCTGATTGGTCAACAGATATGTCTGTGATTGGCTTCAATGATCTTTCTGTGTGAACGCTCGGTGAAGAGCATGAAGCGATGATCATTGAAGCCAATCACAGACGTATCTGTTGAGCATGTGAACACAATGACCAGTCAGCGCTGTTTAAGAATCTGCCCAACAGCGTTCAAATCTTAGTTGGAAATGGACGTTTTTAAAATTTCAGTATTGAATAGTATCCCGGTTGGTACTGTTGACAACACTGTGGGGTTGAATGCGTCTGAACTAAACACTCTGCAAGATCACAAATTAATCATCTGCTATCTCAAGCAGTTGTATAACTATTGGGAAGCCTGTTTTACTAATGATTTTATTTGAGATTGCGCACAAATGCAGAAATGTGATTACTCTCTTCTTGTGCCATTGAAATTAGTATTCAGAAGTAGAGGAATTTTTCTGTCTCTATCCCCCTGCAAGGATGCTCTTTATCAAAAAGAACATCATTTTCAGCCAGTAAAATGTTGGAACATGGCTAGGGGGTATCAGCAGCAGCTGCGCTGGATGTCTTTCATAAATGTGCAAATAATCTCACCTGTAACAAATTTGAATAAATTATAACTAATTTTTCTTATTTTCTGCTTTCTCCCCAGGACCTCCTGTAAGTACCATGGCAACAAGCTGAATGCTTTGTGCATGACTAATTCAACATTATAACAGGTAGAATATTGTATGTCGCACTCAGACTGAAAAAGTATTGTCTATTTGAATGGAGATGACATTATAAAAGTTTTCCCACTTTTTTCTTACTACTATTTTACACATAGTCCTTCCTAAAGGAGAACATTATTCCCATTCAAATGGGTCCATGGATTCCTGTGACACCCTGCAAAAGCTATAAAGATTTTAAGGTTGCCAGATGTTGCAAAGAAAAAGAGAGAGAGAGAGAGAGTCTCACTTCAGTATATGCAGACTGATCACTGGAACTGTCTATCTCACATGGGTTGAAGCTCTCTGCTGACCAAACTGATCAACCCATATTTGTATTTAAACCATACATAGCTCTGGCAGTCAAAGGCAGTGATGATGGTCAGGTCACTGAAGTCCTCAAGTGCTTAGAAAGGGAATTTTAAGATATTTGTCCAATGGATGTGTGCATCAACACCACCTGAAAGTCATCTAGGGTTATAGGCTGCACAGTATTGAAGATTATATAAAAAAGGAGCAATTTGTGTTGATAAATTAAAATACATGTGACTTGAAAAGCATCACCTTACTGTCCCAACAGCATGCTTTAAGACTTTTATACAGGATATGCATGTGTGCAGCTCACTAATTTATTGTTAGATGCTTTGTCCTAGTTGTAGTCAAAGGTTTTGAATTGTATATTATGATTTTTAAGGCTGATGGTGAGAATAAAGGCCTACTGTATTTTTTACATGGGCTGTATCAGAAAAGAAAAGTAATGTATACTCTTGAATTCTGACCAGAACTGGCTGTCTACATAAATTAAATATATTATATGTGAATAATGATTATTACTTGCCGATGAACAATAGGGATGTATGTGGTTTTCAATGGCCTTTGTCCATTTACAGGTCATTTGAGTGCTTTTCCATTTCCATGGAAAAGTCAGTGTAACTCCATCCTTTTCTTTCACTTATGATTCTATTTCATTGCTCGTCATAGTTTTACAGTGTAATGACAGCCTATTATTTAAGAATTCTAAGAATAACAACCCACCAAAAATGTTAAAAAGAGATAAAAAAAAGTCATATTTCAGACTATACCTATGAATATACCAGTTGGAACTAGTTTTAGAGGAACAACGAGTCCTTTAGGGCCAAAATGAAGGACTCAAAACAGGTAGCTCCAGAGAGCCCCTCCAAAACAATCTCAGGGGCTCATGCTTGTCACTCATTGCATCCTGGAGAGGGAGGCCCATGCACCCATAAAACATTTTGTCTAGGGCGCCATTAATATATATTAATATATTGTTTAATTTATGTGACCCTGGAACACAAAACCAGTCATAAGGGTCTTTTTTTTTTAATTGAGATTTACAAATCATCTGAAAGCTGAATAATCTGGAATCTGAGGGTGCAAAATATTGAGAAAATCACCTCTAAAGTTGTCCAAATGAAGTTCTTAGCAATGCATATTACTAATCAAAAATTAAGTTTTGATATATTTACATTAGGAAATTTACAAAATATCTTCATGGAACATGATCTTTTTATCCTAATGATTTTTTGGCATAAAAGAAAAATCGATAATTTTGACCCATGCAATGTATTGTTGGCTATTGCTACAAATATACATGTGCTACTTATGACTGGTTTTGTGGTCCAGGGTCACATATATTAACACATTCGTCACAATTTATTTAGTTTAATATGTTACATCTATATAGAATAAAAAAAGGAATAACGTGGTAACAAAAAGTTGTATAAAGATTATTGGTAAAACTTTACATTAAGGTTCCCTTTATAAAGCGTTTATAAAGGTGTTCATAAATGGCTAATAACTCATTTACAAATGCATTTCACTCAAAACCAGATTACTGATTTATTTCATGATGCAGCAAAAATAGACTTTTATAGCGTGTCTGAAGGGTGTTATTTATATTTTTTCATTTATATCTCATAACTTATGAACCTTAATGTAAAGTGAACAGCTTTAAATCATTTATTAATGAGTTATAAATGTTAATAACCTGTGATAGTGAACCTTAATGTAAAGTGAACAGCTTTGAACCATTTATTAATGAGTTATAAACGTTAATAACCGGTGAAAGTGAAACTTAATGTAAAGTGAACAGATGTGAACTATTTATTAATGAGTTATAAACATTAATAACCGGTGAAAGTGAACCTTAATGTAAAGTGATCACCTGTAACCCATTTATTAATGAGTTATAAACGTTAATAACGTTAACCATTAATAAATGGTTCACAGGTGTCCACTTTACATTAAAGGGGTCATATGATGCGATTTCAAGTTTTCCTTTCTCTTTGGAGGGTTACAAGCTGATTGTGCATAGATAAGATCCCTGAAGTTGCAAAGA